CAACTGGAGAATCAATAATCTACTCCGATATTGTCACCCAGACGACACGACAACCACGAGCACAATGAGTTATAGAGTGGCTATCATGATGTCCCCAACAGCATCGCAGGCTCTCATGCAGTGGGAACTAATCTCCTCCTCCAGCATCAGGATCATGACAGCAAGATTCAGCTCAAAAGAAAGGAAGGTCACAGTCATACAATGCTATGCACCTACAAATAATGCAGAGCAAGAGAAAAAGGAGGAATTCTACAGACAACTGCAATCATTACTAGACAATGCTCCAGTTGGCGACATCAAAACTCACTCTATAATGGGTGGTGTGACATGAATGCCAAACTGGGAGGGGACAACATAGGAAGAGAACTAACCATGAGTCGAGAGGCGCTAGGTGAAATGAACGAGAATGGAGAATTGTTTACAGAATTCTGCGCATTCAACCATTTGGTGATTGGAGGAGAGGCACTGTGTACAAACACAAGGATATTCACAAGGCAGCGACATGGGTTTCACCAGACACCAGGACACACTAAAAATCAAATCGACTTTATCTCAATCTCAAGAAAATGGAGATGCAGTCTACTTAACACAAGGTGAAGAAGAGGAGCAGATGTAGGTTCACACCACTCACTGTCTAGTGCAAGGAACCTGTCTTCCAAATCAAGTTAAAAGCCTTCAAGGAAGCTGGTGATAGACCTCCTCAATTCAAGTACAACACTCGGAAACTGAAGGATGAAACTACAAAGGAGATCTTCAAGGCAGCCATCAAGACAAAATGGGAGATATCGAGGAACATCCACGAAGAAATACGTGTGGAAGAACACTGGAAGTCTTTGAAAGCTATGTGGAAAGAAACCTGCACAACAGTATTAGGAAGGAAGGAGAAAGAAGACGAGGAATGGATCTCGACGGATACCTGGAAGCTGATAGAGGAGAGGAGAGAAGGATGGTGAAACAGAAGATAAACCAGTGCACGGATGCTCAGCGACAAGAGGAACTGAGCACAATGTATAAAACACTGAACAAAGAAGTAAAGAAGAGTGCACGCAAAGACAAAAGACACTTCTACAAAACACTGGCAAGTGAAGCAGAACAGGCTGCAGGTAAGAGAGACCTGACAACATTGTATCAAATAACCAGGTTACTATCAGGGAAGAGATCAACACAGATGAAACCAATAAAAGATGATGACGGAAATTTAATTACGAACGAAGAGAAACAGAGGAAACAATGGGCCGACCACTTCAAGAAGCTCTTGAATCGACCACCATCACCACTTGCACTTCGTCCAGAAATACCACCTGCAGCCCAGCCACAGAACTACAAGTGAACATAAATCCTCCAACGAAATTCAAAGTGTTGAACGCCATAAAGCTGCTGAAATGCGGGAAAGCAGCAGGGCCAGATGGAACCCCACCAGAAGCACCGAGAGCAGACACAGAGACAACAGTGGACATGCTCACACCACTACTGCAGAAGTTCTGGAAGGAAGGAAGGAAGGAAGGAAGGGAAGGTACCTGGCGATTGGAAGAAGGGTTACCTTGTCAAACTGCCGAAGAAGGGCGACCTAGGTCTTTGCAAGAACTGGCGCGGAATCATGCTCCTGTCCACCCACAGCAAGCAAAATATTAAGCCGCATCATCCTGGAGAGGCTTAAGGATGCACTGGATTTAAAACTACGACCAGAACAGGCAGGCTTCAGGAAGTACAAATCATGTGCAGACCAAATTGCAACGCTTCGCATCATCATAGAACAGAGCATAGAATGGCAATCAGCTCTCTACCTCAACTTCATCGACTTCGAGAAGGCCTTTGACAGCGTCGACCGAGAGGTAATTTGGAAACTGCTTCATTACTACGGAGTACCGCAAACCTTTATCCGCCTCATTCAACAAGTATATGAAGATGCCACATGCCAAGTAATCCACAATGGGAAGCTCAGTGATGCTTTTGAAGTGAAGTGAAGACAGGAGTGAAACAAGGTTGCCTACTATCCCCCATGATATTCCTGATTGTGGTCGACTGGATCATGCAGAAAACAGTGAGGAGCTGTGAGAAGAGGAGCATACGCTGGCTGGACTGCAGAAAAGAACCTAGAAGACTTGGATTTCGCCGATGACTTGTGCCTAATGTCACATAAACTTGAAGATCTACAGGCAAAAACTAACAAGTTGATAGAAGAGGCAGCTAAGACGGGACTTCAGGTGAATATAGAGAAGACAGGGGTGATGAAGATACCGCACCAACAACTCCAACAACAACAACAACAAACTCCAATCACCGTCAACGGGAGAAACTTGAAGGAAGTAACCTCCTTCACTTATCTAGGAAGCACTGTTTCAACTACAGGCGGGACAGACGAGGATGTCAAAGTCAGCCAGGATCGGAAAAGCAAGACAGGCGTTCATTAGCCTGAAACCAGTGTGGAGATCTTCTGCACTCAGTATATGGAACAAGATCCGGATTTTCAACACCAACGTGAGTAAAGTCAGTGCTTCTGTATGGCTCAGAGACTTGGCGCGTCACGAAAGGGATTTCCAATAAACTACAGACATTCATCAACAACTGCTTACGCTATCTCGTTACTGAAGATCAGATGGCCAGAAAGAATAAGCAACAAGGAACTCTGGGAACGAACCAACCAAGAACCTATCACGCAACAAATATGCAGAAGGAAGTGGAGATGGATTTGGCATACACTGAGAAGACCGACTGGGAACATCACGCGTCAGGCCAGTCGCTCGAGTGGAATCCCCATGGGGAGCGACGAGTTGGACGTCCGAGGGTGACATGGAGGAGATTGTGCGGGGAGAAAATGATAGCTTGTGGGCTGTCGTGGAGCCAGGTTCAAAAGATCTCAGAGAACAGAGGTCACTGGAGACGTGCTACTGATGCCCTATGTTCCACTAGGAACCCAAGGGACTAATAATAATAATAATAATAATAATAATAATAATAATAATGTCTAATTTCTTTCCCAATAATTGTTCATAAATATAATCCACAGTTTCCATAAGAGGGACGTTAGTAAAAAAAGATGTGATATCTAAGGATCCCATGCATTTGTTTAAAGCATTTACTTTTTTATTTTGCCTACAAGCTGGAAGGTGTCTTTAACGCTTTATTTTGTTAACTGGTCACGCAAAGGTTGAATTAATTGTACTAGCAATTTAGTGGTAGCATGGCAAGACGAGTTAGTCATGTCTACGACAGGCCGAAGAGGCACTCCAGGTTTGTGCATTTTTGGTAGAACATACATCGGTGGAATCGTGCTGCCTATATGCGTCAAGTTTTCAAATAAGGTTGATAAAATGTTTCCGTCATCTTTCAGTTTCTTAAGTGAGACGACTAAGTACTTTTCTGCTTTTCAGTTAGGTCTTTTGCTGGCTTTAGTTTGCAATATGAAATCCACTTTCTGTGCATCATCAACTCTGTCCATAATTACGACTCCAGCGCCTTTATCAGACCTTATTTCAGTCAATGTTCTTCTATCATCTTCCAAAGCATCACCTGTATATTTTCGTTGACTTCAATTGAATAAACACTTAACTAACATAACACTCGATTGTACTTAATTGAGAAAAAGCTATGATAGTTCAAATATTGCCCTGACCGTGTAGGTTTTCTGTACACAGATCGTTTTATGGATCCATCCTGCAGTGGGCTAATTAATATGCCCAAGAGAGATAAACAATCATCGTTCTCTTCTATACATGTCAAAGATGCGTTGCTCTGCACTTCATTCAGTCAGTTTAGAATTGAAGTACATTAATTTGAGTAATCACATATGATTAGGATATCATCGATATAAATGGGTTTTTCACGTGGGACATGTTTATGCATTGGTGATATTTGTGGGAAAAAACTGGTTACCGTTTGGTTATGTCCTAAAACTAAAGGTCAACCATCTTGTTTATGTTAATAACTAGTCAGTGAATACGACAATGCAGAAATTTGTCCGAAAAGTATGACAAAACCCAATTTGTAAATTTCGATGTCATCACAGCAATTTGTCTCAAAAATGTTTGAGCTTATAAAACAAGCAGATTGAATATATATATATATATATATATATATATATATACAAACGTATTTTCTGACAGCAAACAAGTCTTATTGAGCTGATGCCATAACCTGGAAGAAAAACTTATGAGTCATAAGTTATATGGAAATATTCCTTGTGATGATAAGCTTTAAGATGAAGTGCAATACAATCCCAACAAGTGCAACGTAATATCAAATCCATGCAATGCCAGATAGAGGAGAATGAACAAGACCAGTCGGTAATAACTCTACTTACAAGATCAGTAGGTTTCAATGACCAATTATGTGACTAAAAATGACACAACCACAATTTTGAGGTAGTATTCATCACAGATTGTCATAGGTAGGGGAACCATTGAAAACCTGGGAGCACTGGACAGCCAAGGTCTTCAGTTGGCATTTACTTCCCTAACGACTGGTTGACTTCATAGGTCACAACTCTCATTAGAACTTTGGGATAAGGAAAACGGATGCCAGCTGAAGACCTTGGGCGATAGTCGCGCTATATCGCGAATTGACAGAAGTGAACTATTGAACTCCGACCCAGTGGCTGAATAGTTAACGCGTTCACCATGAAATCTGAACGTCCTGAGTTCGATGCCTAGCCTAGTCATAGGCGTGCACTGCTAAGGAGTCCTATAACCACGACAAAATAGCTGCCCAGTCCTCCAAGGTTCTCAGCGGTTCCCCAACAGATGTCAGTCGGTGATGAATACTATCTCAGTTGGGGAACCATTGAAAATCTGGGAGCACTGGACAGCTATTTCGCCCTAGTACGGGACTCCTCAGCAGTACGCACCCACGACCCGGCTAGGGATCAAAATCAGGACCTTCAGGTTCCCCAACTGATGTCAGTCCATGATGAATACTACTTCTAAATTAAAAATCCCCATTCATCTCAAAAATACAATCACAATTATTAATTCTAAACCTAAAAATCAAAGCAAATTAAATACCTCGATCAGCAGGGAACCGTCGACGGAACAGCGTGTACAAATAGTCAGATCACTCTGAAATAAAAGAATTGTTATGTTTTTGAATATTTGAATAAGAAAAAAAATCATAGTGAGTTGATGACATTTTGAAATGTCAAGAAATACAACAAGTTCACAATATTGTCAGGAACTAAGAAGAAGATAGAAATAACTGCACTGCCCCCTTAGAGTCTCCTCCTTTATAAAAACTAGTTAATATCAGAAACAACAATAACAAGTCTGATAAACAAAATGTGAAAAATCTATCGAAACAACATTAATTATCAGGATTGGCAAAATATCATATCACTTGACAGCAGTTATGCAGAAATAGTACATTTGTTAAATACAGAAGGCACAAATGCAAAATAGCCGAAACAATGTCCGGAACTCAGGCGTTTATAACAGTTCCTCATACTGGTAAAGTGATATAAGGTCAACAGATTTTGGAAGTGTACCAACATTTATAGTCTGGAGAGGATGTGGAAACTACAGAGCCATGACTTTATAAGATCAAACAACACTAGCCAACTTTATCAGCATTTAATTTAAAAAGAAGTAAGTGCTGGTGAAGTCATCTGGCGATAAAACGTCAAAGAAAAAGCCTCAGAACTAGCAGAACATCAAAAAAGATTGTCATCCTCATCCTGAGATAAAAATCTTCTCTACTATCTCAAACAACAAACAAGTCAAGCATGATGATAGTTACTCACTGATGACTTCAGAGAACACTCGTTCTGTATCATTATTTGACCGAGACAAGAAAATGAAAAGTGTCATATCACAAACTAGTAGCTCAATAATGCAGTGGTATTCCAGTGACCTTAAGAAAAAGAGTCACTTCATAGTATAAAATGAGAGCAACAGTGATAAGTAATGCAGTTCAATGATACCTTTGCTTAAACTTACGCCTATAATATGCTAGTCAGTCAAGTTGTCAACTGCTCACACCAAGTAGGTCAAGTGAAAAAAACCTACGTAACATTTTACAATCGTAGACCTAAGGTAATGAGCCCCAGTTTCTTGTATCACTAAAAGATAACGAGTGAAAGCATTTTTTACTGACTTTTAAACTGTGTTCGATTCATAATGAACACAAGAATTCACTGAAATAAAACTGAAAAGTTTTTAAAAAGATGACGCATAAACACATACTTTGTATGGAGTTGGTAAAGTGAGATGAATATGGTTCGATTCAATTAAATTAAAATTAGATGCACGAGCTTCCCATAAATTTATCTCGCAATTGGTATGTTCAAGAAATAATTCCCCTTTACTATGGGCTTCAGTACCACGAATGAAACCAACTAACTGTAGGGAAAAGGAAATCAGGGAGAAAATAACGATGATATTTGTTGTACCGTAAAAACATAGAGATTAAATAACAGATAATCCATAAACCATAAAACATTAATAAATACAATCGACTCATAAAGACGTAAAGGATAATAATCATAAATTTGTCTTATGTTACCACTTAGATACTTGCTAAACCCTTAAAAGTACAATGCACAACAGACATTACAGTATTTTAAAGTATAAATGTGAAACAAACCGTCTAATACAGATAAAATGCGAAGGCACCATACATTTGACTACTCATAAATTTGTGCATAATATTTCAAACAAAAATTAGACCGAAATATCGAACCTCCCGAAAGTGTAGATGAATATATTCTGCACCTAGAAAACGCCATGAGTAAAGCTACGAAAAAATTCCTTGTAAGTTCCCTACACGAAAAGATTCACGCAACGTAACATGAAGTTTAGTGACTTGAATGCATGAATAAAATACAAATAGTAATTCTAACTGGTAATAAGAAGTTATTACAGCTCATCTGAGAAAGGGACAGTAAGAAGTTTGCTGTCAGTTATGCAGCTGATGAACTGAATGGAAAGTAGATCGACAATTTCCAAAGATACCTAAAAAGCTTAAGAGATCACTTCAGAAAACAAAGTAGCTGGACCTCCCCTCTAGTAGTTTGAAAGTCAGTCTACAGTGCTCAGAGTTCGAGTAACACTGAGGAACTTAACGAAGTGGAGGTCCAGAAGGAACTCCAAGTATTGATTGACAAGCCACGAGACACCTGATCAGACAAATTATTTTGTCTCTTTTAAAGACAGAGACGAGACTATAAGTGCAGAGCTTGCTAGACTGTTTGAGAGGGAATTGCAGACTGAGAGTATTCTACAACTCAGAAATCAAATAATCACATTACAAGTCTTTTAAAATAAATTAGCCAAGGTATGTGAAATTAAAATTAGAAGCCGCTAACAAATTTGTATAAGATATTGTCATCTGGCTTTGCAATACGTGCAAAAAACTAACTTTTGGTGAGTAGGATAGATCTTGTTCACTGGAAATCTCGATGCTTCTTAATATAATGTCTCCCTACGATTCGATGAAAAGAACTGCCCTCTAGGACTGGATGCGAATCATCACTAAAAATTTAATTTCATACACGAATTCCTCTTTATGAATTTGAAAAGAGCTAAAACAATAATAGGGCCAGGATAAAATGGATCCATTTTATTTCATTGGTATTTTGTCAACTTGTTTGCAACCTAGAGTTTCAAAATATATGGGTTGACTGAAAATTTAGCGTACTTTAATTCATTGAAAGAGAGCAGAATATCGGTCAGTGGATGAGATGGACAGAAATAGTGATAGATTAAATGTCAATCATAATGGCATATTCAAGAAGAGTTAATAGATGGTCATGGTTACATACACAATTTAATGGAAGCTTATGAAATAAAATAACAAGAGTAGTATTCAAAATATCGAGGGACACACACACACACAAGCTCTTAGAACACTCTGATATTCACCGAAAAAGGTAAATGTTGACAAAGGCTCCTGAAGATTTTTCAAAACCACTCTATAGCACATATTATGCTTACGGACAATGATCACCAACTGACTAAGTGTGACTTAGTAGCATCCATGTTGTCATATAGTGAAATAATATACTACGCAGATAACAGGTTCAAAATCCTTCCCCTTGTGACAAAGAGACGTATATTACGGAACTCCAACAATGTTGTCTCCAGAATATCACTGAAAAGTTTACAGACTAGTGACTAAATCAGAAAATCCTATCTGACAAAAATGTTGATTTGGAATAATCCGGAGAGGTGATATACTTTCGCAAAACCCTGTCAACACGTGAACAGACTTCTGAATGACACTATTTCCAACAAGTAATTGCAGGGTGCAATCTTGTCTAACTGATCAAAGGCAGCTCTTATAGTAGAAAAAGAAAATAACGCATGTTGGCTTGCAATAAGCGATACGTTCCTCCACTGTCTGACAAACAGTAGACACATTATCAACGTAACACAACCTGTTCCCAGTGAATAAGCTTCTCAAATGTTATGTGCACCCTGTAAACTGTAACAGCAGTCCAACACTTTCGACTCTATTGGTATCAGACTGATTAATTGCTCACAGTTACAACTTACATAGACCCTTTCTAAGGATGGATACACTAGTGATACTATTCTATAGTAGCGAAAAACGTTTAGTCCAAGATACGATCCCAAAAAATAAACTAGTCATCTTTCTTATTGCAATCTGGTCCCTATCCTTAAAAAAAGCACGTAAAGGCTCTTTGTGTCAGATACCTTGTGGAGCTTTACTACCTATAGGTCCTCCTGAACGTCCCTTTCATTGGGTGAGTGAGTTACCTGACCGTAAAGTACATACATATAGACGACACTTACATTACTGATAGATTGTGGTCCCAAGTGACTTATGATTTCATCCAGACGATTACGTATCTCCTTGCGAATGCTGTAAATAGAGCAAATAAACTTTCCCTTAGTCGATGAAAGTATCACCGTTCAGCTGAAGAAGTCTACTGAAATATTCTCGAATAACTTTACCATATCTAAGTCATTTTAAATAAGAAACACTTAGCTTGCTATCATAAGCGCAAATAATACAGCCAATTAATGTAAATTATTCTAACATGGAATAAGTAACCTCTAAGTAGATAATATATACATTGAAAAAGCATAAGCGTTATTGGTATGAAAGAAATCCATCGATCCAAAATTTCATCATATTCTCGAATTTGGAAGAGATATACTTCACGCTAATCATCCGATCATATGTATGAAAGGTTTGTGATAAGCAACGATCTTACTGTATAGGATGTGATGCATTTTCTGGTAACTATAAGGTACCCAGTTAGTGTTCAAAACGAATTTATTAGTTGGTGATAGTATTAATGAAAATCGTAACAAAACGAATGAGTTTAGAGGATTAAAGTTCTATACAACGTAGAGATAATAAGTCCGATGATCATGGCGTGTAAAAATTTGAATCTCATTATTATCAACTGAGTATTTTCCTTATTTACTTGATTCAAAAGTTAAAAAAATAATTACAAATAACGTGAAACTAATCCATGATGAAGTGAGATGGTCAAATTTTTCCCAAAACTGAACTCTGTGACTTATTACACTCGATAGGTGATCTGACATGTTGAGACTTTTCAGAGAATGATGTTCTTTAACATAATCAATCTATTAACAACCAAAAAAAGTGTTCGAATACACATAAGTGATAGCAATCAAACAACTAAGACTTATTTTTCGATAAGGTTAATCTTTCTCAAGTTACGTAAAATAAACGAAACATGATTTTCGAAAACACGGAGGTCACTGTTAGAATCCCTTACCAGCACTACAACGTTTGCAAAACTTCATAACAAAGACCAAGTTTATGCACAAGATTCCAATTTACAAACTTATTGTGTGCATAACTGATAATAATACCTGGTTCTCCAAGTTGAATTATATAGCACAGATTGAATATAAGATTAATGAATTCTCAACTAGATCAACAATGCATAGTTTTATCAGTCGTAAAAATGTTGTCTCAAACTATGAATACCATTTTACGAAAGTTTTCAACTGGATAATAATAGTAATTGACCAGCATAATCCTACTGTTAATTATACCCGATGATACTCCTCCCTGTTAGTCCATCAATATAAGTTTATAAATTAATGGTGGCTATTCTAATAAGAAGCTAATATAGAAACAATCCCATTTGATCATGGGACAACACAGAAGACAACTAGGGACAAGAAAAAATGTTCTTTTCAAAATCATTCTCTCAGCTGTATTTTTATGCAGGTTTATGTATGCGCATATAAGCGCATATCTCCCTAGTATGCACGTAGTATACGAACGGTCATCAGGTGTACCCATACGCTCTTATCATGAGGATGCATTTGTCCACTTGGCTAGAAATTCAGGTGTAGTCTGCGCACTTTCGTGAATATGTAGCAAAACGTCTGCAAAGTTCCAGAGTGATTTCCAGTCGAAAGCCAATATGAATTTCGTCACAGGGGAAAGTTACGTAATAAGAAATAACCAATGAGTTATTTAGAGTGATGCACACTTTTTGATGACCATGGCAAAGCAAGAGGTTGTACATACTTCTTTCGAATACATAATGATGGCTTGAACGTTTGAATTGCTAATGCTGGTGAGTCCACTATGCCCAAGATGTCTTAGCCTCACTCCTTTAGAGTAGCTTGGGCGAACTTTGTACAGAAGTTTCGAGGAGCCAAATGTCTTGAATTTACCAAGTGTTTTGTTACAGAGCTGAAGATACATTTTTGTTCTCCCCTTGTCAGCCAAGTTTGGTAGTGTTCGCAAGCGCGTTGCATAAGCTGGACCACGGTACGGCGAATTTACTCGGCTTCTTAAGAGATTGCAACTAGGTCTTTCGTTTAGTGAATCAAATTCCCGAACTGTATTTTTGTTTGACCTCAACAACTTTTAACGTTGTTTCACAGAATTTCGCCCCGGTGGATAAAACCTACATTTAAACGGAGGATAGCGATACTCTCGAGTAGTTGAATACTTTTCTTGGCATAAGGGAAAAGTGGTTTTACGGGTCACTAACTTCAGACTCTGATTCAGTTTTAAGTTAACCTCATCAGTGCGCTTCTTGGTGACGGTAGCAACGTAGATGTCAAATTCTTTCCTTTCGTACGTAGATATTTCAAAAAGAATGTGGCTCTTTTGTGAAAGTTGTCGTTCTAGCTCTCGTAATCGAGATCTAACAGCATCAATATGGTTCAAAGTGTGTCGTTCCAAGGAACGTTATTTAGGAGAGATATGATTGCATCTGAAATTCTTTTAGGAAATTTTGGGACATTCATGTTTGTCTACACTTTTCTTTAAGAAAGAAATTTTCTCATTCGCCTCTGCAACTCTGGCGGGAAAACGCAGAAAATCGTCCAGTTTTCCCAACGTCGAAGGATCCTTGCTGAATAATTAACGACTCAAAAGTTCAAACCATCATTATGCGTTCAAAAGAAGTGTGTACAACCTCTTTCTTTACCATGGCCATCGTAGAGTACCGATCACTCTAAAGAAGCCAAATGTACGGAAGCTCCAGTACTAATTATGACAACAATAATACTGTTAAGCGAAACGATGTTGTCCTATACCATTTTTACCTCATATCCATAAACTTGATAAAAACAAGTTCAAGCTCAGACCCTCTTATTTTTAACTAGAAAAATACTTGATACTGAAGAGATACGAGGTTCAAACAATTTGAAGTTGTCTATTTTAAAAACTAAACTTAAGACTTAACAAAATAACACATACCCATCTTCCAACTGTTCATTAGGAAGCTGTAGAAGTGCTTCTGCAGAGTATATACACCCAAGTTTAAAATATTGATAAGAAACATCGGGTTTCGACAATGTTCCAAGATGAGCACCTTGGTTTGGCAAAAGAATTAGTCCAGGAAAACCACTAAAATGCCAAACTAACAAAATATATCTGAAATGAACGGCAAACAAATAGCTTTTACTCTGAAGTCTTAAGCTTCCTATGCTGTAAATCTATTAGAATATGAGATGAAATCAATAAAAACTATGCCGGAGTAACCTTCTAAGGCAAAAAAAAGAACCCTGTCCACATGAATTGAACAAACTTGAATACAAACAATTTTTAGTTTCATGGTATTTACTACTAGAAATCTGTGATTATATAGAATAATAATCTCAAAAAGAACAGACTAGTTCAGTTTGCATTAGTTTTGAAACGTTTAACAAAACTAGTTGATGAAAAATACAAGTAAAATAACTTAAATCGCTTCTGTGTCTCACTGAGGCAACAGATAACCGTCACAGGTAGGCTACATGCGAATATAGCAGCAATTTATCGAATTCCTTACGCCTACAGCCTGACATGAGATGATTTCCATAGCTGACAACTTGAAATTGTACACATTTGACCATCCAGTCTAGAACTGTTTGAATTAGATGAATTGCGCTGAGAATTTCATCTGCATTCTCTAAAATTTCAGTTTTTCACTTTACTATCCGATTGTTTCCAGCCTTTCCATGCTATGCTTTTTTTGTAACGACATAAGAGGTAACAAGTATTTATCTAGATTCACTTCAAATCAAGCACAATATAACGTGTCAATTTAATATACTTTTTAACAGGGAAGAAATGAATAAAGTACGTGTAAGAAATTTCTCAAGGCTAAGCTCCCTTCATAATTTTGTTCCTGTTTTGTCAAAAAGCAGAGAGGAAAAGTGATATGACTATCGAATATATTCAAATTCACGTTTGCTTGGTGTTTAAGATCATGTATCGATACAATTTAGTCATATCACCCCATTTTCGACCACTGTCTCGTAGCACTTAAATCACACTTCCCAACATACCTTCACTACGATACATCATCGGCCGTTTTTTTTATTCAAAAAAAAAACAATAACTGAAACAACCATGTTGACGTTGAAGAAGCAACTACATCATCACTTTTACATTTTACAAACAACATAACTTTTAATAACACTAACCCAACCATTAATATGCTGTTACTACCACTACCCAATACGAAAAAACGAATGAATGAAACGTACTCAACAATCTTGTGCATATTCGTGCATCAGGAAAAGAGCCACACCTGTTGTGTGAGGTCTAATGATACTACCCGGCTGGCCAAACCTCGGTATGTGGAGCGGGATTCGGACAAGCGACTCACCTGGTTAAAAACCTTCTCCCTAAACCACTGTGCCACAGCTCCACTTTAAAAAACGCGATGACCCTACATTGTTAATAATCAGGTGAAGAATAAAGCTGCTTACATAAAGCTCTCCAAAGTCAAAACAGTTAAACACCACGCACTACAGACATGCAAAGAGCTATACTCAAATTCCGTATGACCTATAGCATTCGGATAACTGCACCTTATACTACTCACCTTATTTTCTTTAGTATCCAAAATCGACAACATCCAATTACTAAGAAACATTTTCTGTTGAATACTGTTGTCAACGTATCTCCAGAAGAATTTAGAGATTCTGAGATAACAGATAATTTCTGTTCTAGTAACCCCTTCATACGAAGGAAAAAAAAGAAAAGGTTTTAAAAATTGTAGGGAGACTTAAGCTTACGAATCAATAAGTAGTATGACCAAGCGAAATGAAACAATAAAAAACGAAATCCTTGACCACATACCCGTTTACAGAGTGGGAATTGAGAGGTTCAAAAGATTACAATTCACAAGACATGAGTAACTTATGAGTAAGGATTTTTCTCAATAATAAAAAGGACAGTTGTTTTGTAGTATTTTTACAAGATATATGAGATGACTTTGAGAGAAATTTAAGTCCAGATGAACTGAATGAACAAAAAACAGCCGGTCACTGAAAGCAAAATGTCTGCATCAACTGTTGAAAGCAGTACTGTATAATTAACAGAAGATTCCTCAATATGAAGTGAACTCGTTAGTTTACAGATAAATTTGACATTTCCAAGTTGGTCCCATTTTACCATGTCACACTCACCTCGGATGCCCAACTCATCGTTTCCCATTTGGCTTCCACTCGACGACCTGGTGAGTTATGTCCCCAAACCACCTTCTCACTGTATGTCCAATCCAATCCATCTCCGCTTTCTTCATCTACATACTTCTTGGGAGATGGGTCGTTGGTTGGTTCATTGCCAGTCAGCCAGCCAGAGTTCCTTCTTGCTTATTCTTTCTGGCAATCCATCTGATCTTCAGTATCGAGTGAGCGTAGGTGGCAGCTGTTCATGAATGTCTGTGGTTTGTTAGAAATTCTTTTCGTGACACGCCAAGTCTCTCAATCATCACGTAGAAGCACTGACTTACTTGACTGAATTCGTGTTGAAAATCCGGATCTTCTTCGCGCTTTATGCTGAGTGAAGTGGAGTGCAGTAGATCTCCACACTGACTTCAGGTTAATGAAGACCTGTCCTGCTGTCTTTTCGATCCCGGCTGGCTTTGACGCTCTCGTCTATGTCACCGCTGCCACTTGTAGTTGAAACAATGTTGCCTTGCCTAGGTAGGTGAAAGAGACTACTTCCTTCAGATTTCTCCCGTTCATACTGATTGGTGCTTGTTGTTGGTTGCGTGTCTTCATCACCTCTGTCTTCTCTACGTTCACCCGAAGGAAGTCATATCTTCACTGCCCTACCTCTTCTGTCAACTTGTTGGTTTACGCCTGTAGATCTTCGAGTTTGTGAGATAAGACTAAGACATTAGACATAAATCATCATCGGCGGCGAAATCCAAATCTTCTTCTAGGGTCTTTTCATCGGTCCAGTCAGCGTAGACCCCTATTCTCACTCCTCACAGTTTCTTGTATGATCCAGTTCAGTTCAGTCGATCACGATCAGGAAGATCATTGGTGATAGTAGGCGGCAGCCTTGTCTTACCTATCAACCTGTCTTCACTTCAAAGGCATCACTGAGCTTTCCATTGTGAATCACTTGGCATGTGGCATCATATCATCATATAGCTGCTGTTGAATGAGGTTGATAAGGGTTTGTGACACTAAAGCCGTAGTGTTGAAACAGCTGCCTGACAAATTACTTCTTGGTCGACACCGTCAAAGGCCTTTTCAAAGTCGATGAAGTTCAGGTAGAGTTGAGTTGACTGCCATTTTATGATATGCTCTGTTCTATGATGATGCTTAGTGAGGTGTTGCAATTCGGTCCATAGATGATTTGTACTTCGTGAATCCAGCCAGCCTGTTCTGGTCGTAATTTTAAATCCATAGCATCCTTTAGTCTGTCCAGTATGATGTGGCTTGATATTTTGCTTGCTTTGGGTGGACAAGAACAGCAGCATGATTCCTCACCAGTTCTTGAAATAAACCTCCAGAAGTCAAGTGCAACTCAACCTACTACACGTGCTTTTTTGTGTTTGTTTTGTCTACGATATAGTATACACTGCGATATGCAATATAGCTTATGCGAAAATCATGTAAATTGAGTAGTCATTTAGAAGCGGTGTGTGACAGACAAATCAACACAGAAACTAGCATAGTTGAGACTGATATACTTGAGAGCACCATGGAAAGGCAAGAGGGATAGAAATAGAATGGAAAGTAAACAAAGTGTAGAAGAGGAGCGGGAATCAATAAATGAAGGTTGGTAAAAATGATTACAACTTCGAAGATGATAAAGAGTGTGTAGATTTGTACTATTTTGACTGATTCCAAACCATACCACCAAGAAGATCTAAGCATTTATTCGTATTCTCTCATTGACCCAAGTCAGGCAACTTGCATCCTCCTGTCCAGTATGATGTGGCTTAATATTTTGCTTGCTTTGGATGGACAAGAACAGCAGCATGATTCCTCACCAGTTCTTGCAAAGATGTAGACCTCCCTTCTTTGGAAGTTTGACAAGGTAGTCCTTCTTTCAACCAACCGGTAGGTACCTTCCCTCTCTTCCAGACCTTCTGCAATGGTGGTGTGGTGTGAGCATTTCCACTGTTGTCCCTGCGTCCGCTCTCAGTGCTTCTGGTGGGATTTCATCTGGTCCTGCTGCTTTCCCGGATTTCAGCAACTTTATGGCTTTCAGGACTTCGCTTCTGCCTTTGTCGGAGGTCTTGTGTTCACTGGTAATTCTGTGGCTGGTTTGCTGGTGGTATTTCGGGACGAGTTGTAAGTGGTAGTGGTGGTGGTGGTCGATTCGAGAGTTTTTTGAATTGGTCAGCCGATTGTTTCACCTGTTTCTCATCTTTGGTAACTTTTTTTCCTTCACTATCTCTCATTGGTTTCATCTGAGTTGATCTCTTCTCTCCTAGATAGTAACCTGGTTATTTGATATAATTTTGTCAGGTCTGTATCTCTCCTACCTGCAACCTGTTCTGGTTCACTTGCAGGTGTGTCGTGGAAGTGTCTTTTATCTTTGTGCGCACTCTTCTTCACTTCTTTACCCAGTGTAGTGTTTTGTAGGTTGTGTTCACTTCCTCTTTTTGTTGTTCATCTCTGTATGTACCCGTTGAGATCCATTCCTTGTCTTGTTTCCTTTTCCTACGTAACAAGGTTATGCAGGTTTCTCTCCACATTCCTTTCAAAGAGTTCCAGTGTTCTTCCATTATGGTAGCCACTCCCTCAGTGTGCTCGTGGTTGTCGTTTGGGTGACAGTATCGGAGTAGATTACTGACTCTCCAGTTAACAGTTTGGAGAGTCCACTTCTATTCTATCTGCTTTCGCCGATTCCTAGCTCGTCTATGCCATACCTTCTCATCGCTTTTGCAATCTGAGCAGCCTTGGTAGGTCCATACATTTCATTTCTTATATTTTGTTTGTGCTTTGAAGTTTGTTAAGCGATTGGATTGGTTTTCCGGGTGGGTGGCTAGGCCTACACCCAACGTTTCCTGTTTATCCGGGCGTAGGACCGACTATATATATATATATATATATATATATATATATATATATATATATATATAGCATGTTTAAATCAATTTCTACATTTTTGGAATAAGAAACGCGAACGTTTCGCACGGCCTGGTCTGAGCTTCTTCTGGAAAATAATCAAAGTCTGCAATACCACACACAGGTCAGTTTATGAAATGATGGAAAAGATTTGTGGCTCAGAATAAGGATGATGGCGGTTCGGTATTCTCAAATATCAAAGCTACGGGAACAGCAAACTACCATTATCGTATAGTTCATCCAACTGTCAAATTGTGCCGGCAAAATGACTGTTTTCCAATAGAAATATTAGTCATTCAGGCCAAGTTGCATTGATATATATGATGCACGAATGTAAGCTCCTGTGTATCTGTATGTGTGTGTGTGTGCATCATGTTCCAGACATCAGTTATTACAAAACAATAGAGGTCATAAGCGTAGCAGTGGTAGTAGTAGTAGTAGTAGTAGTCGCAGCAGACGTAGTAGTAGTCGCAGTAGTAGTCGTAGCAGTAGTAGTAGTCGTAATAGTCATAGAAGTAGTAGTACTCGTAGTAGTAGCCATAGTCGCAGTCGATGATGGATGATGATTGATTGATGACTGATGATGATGATGATTGATGACTCATGATGATTGATGACTGATGATTGATATTGATGATTGATGATGATGATGATGAATAGGAATAGGATAAAATGGAGCATTACTGTTAATGCTTGTTTGGCTTTTTTTGAGAATTATTTTTGTTTGCTACTCGGCAACCAATAATTGTGAAACTGTATGGTTAAGTCTTAACGGAAGTTTACATGCCGTTAAGTCCCTATTAGTTAAAATCATCACACTCCTGTGTAGACTGATTCATCCCACTGATTAGCATTAATTCAAATAGCGGAACATGATTAAAATTAGTGCAACTTTTTCAGATGAAGTGCAAGTACTTCAGAATAATTCAGAGGCAAATAACCCACTAGACGATAACGCGAACATTGTGAACTACTGTAGAGTCACACCCATTTCATATGACAACAAATGATAATGACTGGTACGCGCAAAAAAACCCTAATAGGTGAAGCACAGTTACAACCGTAATATACGGTAAAAGTAATAAAAATATATACGTAAAAAGGTTTTCGGCTGTAGATTCACGTGATCTGAAACACAACATTTACTATATTCAGGATATCAACTTAGAAAAGCTACAGATTACCAAATTTTGAAGGTCCCTTTGATTTTTTGCAGCATGTACCTGACTAAACTGAGACTTCTTCGATCAACTATGTCAAAGCAGTGGATCTCTGTATGGCAAACACATTCTGACTACCTCAATGGAAAGCATGTTAACATCAGTACCTAAAATGCTTTGCCATGCTGGATTACTGATTTTTCCATACCCCCACTATGCGTAAAGTAGAAACCGAATTCACATATGTAGATTTCTTGTCTGAACCTAAACATGAAATAGAAAGACTGCCTGCTGCTTCCAAAACAATCTACCGTTCATGATCAATTCAGACAAGCATAATTTGTCATGATGAAGTACTAGGAGATTCAGCAATAAACTGACAGAAATGCTCAATACATAAAGAAATAAAATTCATCACATTATAACACTAAAGTAAACGTAAGCTCACTTACTCTAAAACGGTTAGGACAGTTCAGCATAGCACACGGGTCGCCTGATGTGAAATATCAAATAGGAACAAATTAGATTAGTTTAAAGTGCATTGAGTAAAAGGAATATACGTCAAATTAGTGTGTCAAACAGTCAAAACGATGAAGAACTTGGCACTAAAGTGCAACGGCTCAATTTGCCATAATAGCATGCAAAGAAGAATTTGATAGAAAAATTAATACTAAGATAGTGAAACGTATGAGTATACGATGAAGGTAAACAAAATATTGGAGACTTTGAAGAAGACAAACAGTGTACACATCCGCACCTATGCAATTGACTTTCAGATATATCATCAAGTCTCCAACCCCTGATTCCTATCGTCTCGAGTATCTAGCCAGGCAATCTACACCTCCCCATGTGGCTCATATAGACAGTTGAAGACTTCATGCACCGATGCCACGTCTTTATCTGACCACCCGTAGCCTTCTTCCAACCCAGTCTTACTTAGGTCAACATCGCACTTCGAGGTAACCGATGGATAAGTATGTACAACACGTGGGTTATATCACTAGACATGCTTTAATCACATAGGATGAGGCATGAGTGTAAACCAATTGAAGTTGCCACGCTTCCGAGGGTAGTCAGCAAGGAAGACAGTCAAATAAAAGTCATAAGATCAGTAATCGCGAAAAGCCATAAGTTAAGAAGGGTAGAAAGACATAATAATCAAATTTTGAATATTTCAATGAGGACTAAACATAGATACATATGTACCACTGTGGTAGATACTGAAGGACATCAGATACGTTAATTAACCATCGAATTAGGTTGATTCGCAGACCAAAATCCGGAAGTTTACAAGAATGGTCACAGACTTCAAGGAATGAAACCACGTCTTAAACTGACAATTCTGAAAGCCTTCACACTGCTAATACTGTGAGATTTCTTAGAAGGTGAACAGTCTTAATGAATAGGCCACCTTCAACGATCATTTTTTGCAGTCACTTGGCAAAAGTAGAACAATTTCGCTAAATAAATCAACTCTTAATAGAAACTGGGGAATACTAGTCAGTTACAAATATTCAAGAAAAAAATAGCAGTGAAAGATTTTTTTAAAAAAACTTACATGATGATAAACACGAACAAGTTATTACTTGAGGCTGTATAGAGTTTGCTTGAAAATTAGGAATAGTCTTGTCTAAAAAGAGATGACAATTCGGGATCCTAGATTTAATACGTTCAACCCAGAAAAATGAATGCATTACAGGTAAATGATTAGATTCACGAGAATATGTTAACCTAGACAAATTAAAAATAAGATAATAAAGTAAATAAACTGTTGCATCCGAAGACGAAACTCACTATAGTGGAAAGGTATTATGATCAGTCTTTGGATGAAGGATGGAAAACTCCTCCATCAAATGCAAATGATATCTACTATCGAAATAGCAACTAAGATTACAGTTATACTAATAGTATTTAAGCAAATAACGAAGATAATTGATACAGCAGTTAGAAATTAAGGTTTAAAATAACTACTTGACTATTAGTCTTGATGCGTTTTCGGTTAACAATTAACAATGAAAAAAATAACTCCAAATTCAGCTAATACATATATCATGACAAATTTGCCGAATGACGCCACTTCAGATCGTTCATCAGAGATAAACACATACTTCAGCTTCCAAGTTCACCTCGAGACTTGGACTAGTAATAGAAAATCTGACTAGGTAGTTGAGCGTGATGAAGAACAGATGGCTGCACACTATCACTGTATACAGCGTACAAGAAAACCATCCTTAGACAAAGTAAGATCAAAACTTGGTTAACAGGCGGATCTCCACATCCACTGAGCACCGAACTGATAATCCAAATCCTCTTCAAAATTTAACCACTATTGCTGCATATGAAGGAAGGCTGGTTTGCCGATCAAGGTTACCTCAAACAGTCAAACAAGTATTTTAGAATTATTTTAAAAAAATCAAACTAAAAATAGACTTACCAAGGACCGAATATCATAACGAAGTCGCCACATTTTAAATCATCACCCAGAAGACAGTTTCCAACTGCAGCTGAAAATGGTCCCTCTGTGCCTAAAGCGACACCAGATATGGGCAGAAGAAGAATGGCGAAAGAGTTCGATCCCTTGTTATTTTGTTGACCATCATAATTTTCTACCTCAATTTCTAAATCGGATATGATTTCACGTACACAAAATGCTACCAAGCCTGATAAACTCTCTGTGAAATTACGGAGTATTTTCACGATTCGGAAAATTTTTGAGGCGCGATTAGTGAAATCTAAAAAATAATTAAAAGCAAAAAAACTTCAGATAAAAGCGGACAAGAATTGGAAGCGGCTTTTAGAATTTCCGCTATCACATCAGTTTTGCATAGGTTCAAGAATCTCTTCCAACCGCATAATTGTATACAACCAGTGGATGGAAATCAGTCAAAGTAGTTTCAGAACATAGAAATTAGCTTTGAACAAACTACAGAACCTTGAAAAAACCAAACATGATTGTCGGACACTAGTAATACAAAAAATGCACATTGCTGATAACGAAAAAATTCCATTTCCTGTCCAAATGCAGTTAGCAAATTATTGCATTACTTCTGACTAAATGATCAAGACAAGTAAAAACAAACAAGTCCACACAGTGTTTCAACAGTTCAACTTGCCACATGTCACACCAACAAGTAAAGAACAAAGGCAGAGGAAATGACGAGAATTCGAAGAAAGTGTATAAAAGTAAATGAAAGTATTGAAGTCATTGAATATGACAATGACTGCATAACTCTGAACTGTTGAGATTGATTAGGAGCCATATCTTCAAGTCTGCATAATAGATATGGCGAGACGACGGCAAATACTTCGTGAAACGGAGGTAAGGGTGGACGAACACCACACGCCTTCCAATGACCTCCACATTTCACGACACTTAAGAAAGATTAGTGCTTCAGATTAGCTTAAATGAGCCAGCCAAATATATTCTAAGCTCTATAGTTTGTAAAAGTACAGCAACGCATACTGGCCTACAGATTGACAGTCACCATCCAGTGGAAGGAGTGACATGTGTTTTATGTTCGACAAAAATAGGATGTAAGTGCTACTGTTGGCCATAACCTGAGTATGATAGCAAATTATAAAGTGGTTCTAACCAAGGTACGCGAAGTATCGAAATCGTTTTTCTGGACGTTTGAGAGATTTAATAAACGTATATGTAGGATGCTCTATCCTTCTTGTGTAAGATCTCATCTTGAATACTGAATATACAAACAGCTCGTTTTTCCTCTAAGAAACGAATATTCTGGAACGAGTAACAACGGTAGGTACCAAGTAAGTGTTTGGACTTTTTGAGTTTCATCCAGAAAAATAGTTGGAACGTTTATCCCTCTCACCTTTATCGTACGAAAGTAATTGGATTTACTAAGGTGGATTGTTTCTTCGATAGCTATATGGGTGCTGATCCCTCTAATCGTTCTGTCCTTTAGAGAACTTGCAATGTGCCTGCTTTTCTCAAGTTAATGTCTGCAGGCTCCACACAGACGTCTGACAATTATAAAATCTAAAATTATGTTTGTCACGCTGATTACCCTGTGGGTATCACAAGAAAAATCAGAAATCTACACCAGTCAATGGGATCATATATGACTCCAGCCAACACCACTTAATATAAATAAAAATCATTCATTACCACCCATGAGCACTCACGGCATTCATTCATTAAACACCACTGCCCTTCCTCACTACAGATTTCTTCCTCGTTCGCTTCTTGAGTTCAACAAGGGTTCGATGGCCTATCTGAGTCATCCATTCACAATCCAACTGGATAGCGGGCAACAGAACATTAGCTGCAGACAAGTTATACTGTTTCTCAAGGTGTCCGACACATCATCCCAATAGTCGCCCTGAGAGCGAACCGCTGGCTTGCCATATTTCTTGACCTGAAGGCCCCGATTCGACTCTATCAAAAGTGAGATGTTGTGACAGTGTCTGCCTATGAAGGTAGCAACGAGCAAGTATGAAACCTTTATCAAAGCTATCTACTCGCACTCACGCAGCTGTGTCAGAGCTTATAGAGAATTGTCATCAGAAAAAACGACAATTAATGGTATCCACTGTCACCGTTCCTATTCAACTTCTTCATAGACGTACTAAGGTACATGACCTTCGACATGTCTGACATTACAGGGATTTATCTAATCCTTGGAGGATATCTGGTTGACTTGGTGTATGCAGCCGATAATGATCTGCTAGGTGAAGATGCTGACAAAATGCAGGTCATCTAGACGTGTTGAGCAGAAATATGAGTATGTTCTGAATGCGTTTAGCTGGCACCTGTCAAATATAAGATGATACCCCAGAACTGGTCTGCAACCACTCCCAGTTTATTGGAAGGGAATGAAGTTGTGGAGTATGTCAACCACTTCATTTACTTAAGGAGTTGCATCAGCAGGAACTGACTAGTTGCTGACGAAATCTCAGCTCAGTCATAGAAGATCCCTTTCGCACTTGCCTATTTGCGTCATCTATGGTGTCTTCCGGCAAGACATCTGACTATCCATCGAAAGACGAGTATACTGTGCTGCAGACCGTTCTGTCCTGTTTTATAGATGTGAGACCTGTTCGTTAAAAGTAGAAGACATAGAGCAATTGTAGTGTTTTGATCACTGATGTCTTCGTGGCACGGCTCACGTTTGTTGGAATCACCTTGTGAGCAATACTGAAGTCAGAAGGGTACCAGAGAAGACAAACAAGTCGATTGGTGAGGTGTGAACCTCATGCACTTAATGAAAGGTTTTACGTTGAGTTTTTCTGTCTGTCTGCAGACTCATCCTTCTCCACCACAACCTCACCAGAGATTGACTTCTACGCCCCAGCTTCCTCGATCCATACAAATAACTCTCTCATGTTAGCCCCTTCCCCTTCACCTCAGCTTTCGCTGTCCACCATTGTTTACGGTCACTCAGTAGACTTCTCATCACTCCAGATTTCAAATTCTTCCCCTCCTCATTGTTCTTGGAGCCTGAACAGATACGCTCGCCTGCAGTCATTAACTCAGAAGATGCTGAGAACTACTAAACCTTTCTAACCGCTTTCTGAGAGTCAGTTACGGTTGATACAACGCCTCAATCAAGTGAAGCAAACCAGTCCCGGATCATCATCAAACATACTCAGATTTCTACACAACGTATTCAAAGACCCTGCATTTTTTCAGCGTCTTCATCTGGCAGGAGAATAACGTCTGCGTACTCCAAGTCAACTAGATGGCCTTCAAGGAGCAGATTAATCCCTGTGAAGTCAGAATTAATTAAAAACTAGACAGGAACGGTGACGGAAGGCACTCCTGGCGGACACCACCCGCCATCGTCAACTCGAGTGACAAATATCCATAGGCCTTTTACACGGCTGCCTGAGTTTGAGCAAAGAGCTTTGATAAGCACTACATACTTGCTGGGTACTACTTTCACAGTCAAACACTGCCACAACACCTCATGGTCAGCAGAGTTAAATGCCACCTCCTCATCAAGAAGTGTGGTGAGTGTCAGCCACCGGTAAGTATGTATGTGTTCTAGAACATGTTGAAGGATGAGGATTTGATCGATGCATACTCGTCCAAGTTTGATATCTGTATGGTGTCCTCGAGCTCCATTTATGCATCGAATAACTATGGACGCAATAATCCTGGATATGATGTTATTAAAACTGATTCTTCTATAGTATTCATAAGATTTTCCTCGCTTCTTATAGACTGGAATGATCAGTGAAGTAGACCATCTCTGCGGAACTATCTACTGTTCCTATACCCCATCTAGTATTCTTTTAACTTTGAGGAGGTTTGGAAGACCGACATCTACATCACATTTATGTTCGGGCTGGATGCTGAGCAACTTAAAGCGACATTGTGGGCAAGTTGAAGTGTGGCTCAAGGTGTCCCGCCCAACGTTCTAGCCGTTTGTCCCGAGAGGTTTTCGGTGACGGTTTAACTAGCCATCGTCTTCTTGCCGGCATCCTTAATAACCTGAGATAGTTGCCGAGTATTACTCAACGCTGATGTCTTCTCCATCTCTCGTTTTCACCACCCACCACTCCTCGCGATCGACGCGGAGATTCTTTGTCAAGATACATTTAAGTTGCTTTCGCTCTTCATCGTAGTCAGAGACAGTCAGAATCAGTCTTCTCGCGTCGATCAGTTCGGATGACATTACAGGAATCCAATGATGTTCACGAACTTTCATGTTTAGGTTACCAATTTTGTTTACCGCTATTCCTACAGCAAGCCTGAAATCAAACCAGGTTACCTCGTGATGAACACAGCTTTCACGTTCAGATAAATGCCTAGCTACCTTCTCTCTGAGCATACACTTAGCACTTTCATCTTCCAATCGAGGACGCAGAGGATTAAATGCTGTTTGTTTCCTGCCCCAACTAAGGCTAAACATACACGTGTCCTTACTAACTCATAATCGCAGTTAGAACAGGTACCCCAGAAAGAGCCACAATTCTCCATCGATCCTTTCACAAGATGACTCATAGTAATATGAACTCTCCGTGTTCATCGTTGGTTTGATGTCAGAGGATACCACCCGAGACAGTGTCTTTCACTATGCTCGAAGTTAGTCCTGGCGAGAAACAAGTAGTTTTCGGAACAAAATTACAAGACGATCACCGTTGTCGGTTCACCAGCATGGGATACTTCAGATACCTCGAAGATGCCTTTCCGATTGCCCCAGCCTTCCTACTTGAGCATTGATATTGCACGCTACCATGACCATACCTGAACTTCCTGTTTTATGTTGCAAAATTGACAGCTTTTTACAGAATTCTTCCTTAACATCATCCGAACAGGAGTTGGTTGGCTCGAAAGCAGATATTGCAAATGAGTATTGGTGAATTTCATGACCTTTTCCATTTCTTATAAATCCCTTCAGTAAAACTGAATACAAGCGGCTGTTGACTGGTATCCAGTCGAGAAGTGAAATTTCTGCCCGACAACTCGATACTGTATCTACACCTGAGAGTCCACGAGAACTAGTCATTGAATCTCCGGACAGTTGTAAAGTCAATTTTGAAGATTCACCACACTGGTCAGATGACGTCAAGTGAATAACCGCACTTGGAACCTGTAAATGTGTCTCGGAAACGCAGCATACATCCATAGACGAGGGTTTAGGAGTTCTGGAGAGAAACGCTTGTTGTCTGATTCGACATAGAGTTCGGACGTTGGAAACTCTAGTGTAAAATTGACAGTATGATTCTAGGAGACTAGAAACAGTGTTTGTTGGCTTGGATGATTGGCACTGGTCGTAGAGTGAGAGGTTCAGAAAGTTGTAAGGGGCCTTTTATTGGTATCAAAGGCAACAGAGGAGATAGAGGTGAGAAGCCCGGTATACAACTGGAAGCGAACAGGCAGTTAATACTTTCCAGATGACAACACCACGGAAGGTCATTTCTTCTTAAGGTACCTGAAAGAGAAGAAGATTCGTGATCACGGAGCCTATAGGAAATCTGCCTGAGGTCTGTCACACAGTCTTTTGAGAGATGTCCGTATACGACTTGACTGTTCTAACGCCAGATAAAAAACACTAATACTGCCAGCACCAGAAGAACGCAGAGCACGGAGGAGTGTGCTGTTTATGGGGCCAATTTTTTCTAACCACTCTTCCTTCCCACCGGGAAGGTAGTATAAGCATGATATCGCTGGTCATCCGCCAGAAATACATTACTTCTGTTACACCACAATCCAGCTAGTAGTACGACTTCACCCTCGAACACCCACCATAGTCTAGCAATTTACACTATAACGGCAACTGCTTTCCCTCTTACCAAACCTTTATGGCTAGGTGAGACCTGGAGGGAACAAGCTTTCAGCCATTGTAGCTCGTTGGGTCATTGTGATATAAAAACCCGAGTACCATGTCAAGGTAGCAGCTATCGGTCAGATAAGAAGTAACTGACTACAACTAGCAATCTCAACATCAAGTTTACACAAGTTCTCGGTCAGCCAGAACGTCATGTGTTTTTCTTGAGGGCTATTTATTTAATACGGTCTCAGTTCGGGTAGATATTTCAAGGAAAAAAATGAAATTATTTGACAACGTTGTGCATTCGCATGCTTATTCTGTTCCATACTTGTGTACAGTAAACTAATACGTTTTGTCTTCCGATTCACTTGGTCGGAAGTAATAGTGAGTCGATAGCGATTTTGAGAACATACCATTCATTCTCATCACTAACGTTATCACCGCTTGGTTATTAGAAACCACTGAGAGGAAGAAGGAAGCTACGGAACGCCATTTTCCTATATGATAAGGTAGCTGCTAACAACATTGGTGGGGAATTCCGGATATATATGCGCCCAATATTTACTCCTTCCATCAGACTTAACTCCACCTAACTACTTTTTTTGCTGACAAATGCTGAAAGAAATATGATTTATTCAAGAAGTAAACCAGATTTCTGAACTTTTAAACTCTATGTGCTGCTTTTTCAAACCTTACGGCGAATATGTGGAGAAATCAGTGCGTTTTACAGCTTTGAAATGTATCCCAATTGATTCCATAGCAGAACGGCTAGTACCATCAAAAATTCGCCAAAATAAAGCAGCTTCTAAGTGGAAATTACCTGATGTCTTCTGTGTTAAACGTTGATGTAGCCAAATGGAACGTTCTGAGGAAGTGCGTTTGACCAAATGATGAAGCCTGCGAAGTAAACTATTCCTACAATCATTAAAAACCAAAGGTGAGATATGTTTCCATCTAATATCAAAAAGATAAAGTGACGGGTGAAAATCCATTGGATTAAAATAAATTATATACGGACAGACAAATAAACTTAAAACAGGATTTGCATAACGGTTCAAGTACATCAAGCGAGAACGCCTATCATCCGTATATTTTGAGCTATCTGATTCATCTGCATATACAAATAAATTACCTGACCATAACACACCATAATCTATATAGATGAAGCGAGCAGTTTCAAGCAGAAAAAATGGAATGATGCACAATAATGGTTTCATACAACATGCAGTTATATTATTATTATTATATTATTAGTCCCTTGGGTTCCTAGTGGAACATAGGGCTTCAGTAGCACGCCTCCAGTGACCTCTGTTCTCTGAGATCTTTTGAACCTGGTCCACGACAGCCCACAAGCTCTCATTTCCTCCTCGCACGACCTCCTCCATGTCACCCTCGGACGTCCAACTCGTCGCTTCCCATGGGGATTCCACTCGAGGGCCTGACGCGTGATGTCCTCCGTCGGCCTTCTCAGTGCATGGCCAATCCATCTCCACTTCTTCCTGCATATTTGTTGCGTGATAGGTTCTTGGTTGGTTCGTTCCCAGAGTTCCTTGTTGCTTATTTTTTCTGGCCATCTGATCTTCAGCAGCGAGCGTAAGCAGTTGTTGATGAATGTCTGTAGTTTATTGGAAATACCTTTCGTGACGCGCCAAGTCTCTGAGCCATACAAGAGCACTGACTTGACGTTGGTGTTGAAAATCCGTATCTTGTTCCACATGCTGAGTGCAGAAGATCTCCACACTGGTTTCAGGCTAATGAACGCCTGTCTTGCTTTTCCGATTCTGACTTTGACGTCCTCGTCCGTCCCGCCTGTAGTTGAAACAGTGCTTCCTAGATAAGTGAAGGAGGTTACTTCCTTCAAGTTTCTCCCGTTGACGGTGATTGGAGTTTGTTGTTGTTGTTGTTGAGTTGGTGGTGCGGTATCTTCATCACTTCTGTCTTCTCTATATTCACCTGAAGTCCCGTCTTAGCTGCCTCTTCTATCAACTTGTTAGTTTTTGCCTGCAGATCTTCAAGTTTATGTGACATTAGGCATAAGTCATCGGCGAAATCCAAGTCTTCTAGGTTCTTTTCCGTCGTCCAGTGTATCCCCCTCTTCTCGCTGCCTACTGTTTGCTGCATGATCCAGTCCACCACAATAAGGAATATCATGGGGGATAGTAGGCAACCTTGTTTCACTCCTGTCTTCACTTCAAAGGCATCACTGAGCTTCCCATTGTGGATTACTTGGCATGTGGCATCTTCATATAGTTGTTGAATGAGGCGGATAAAGGTTTGCGGTACTCCGTAGTATTGAAGCAGTTTCCAAATTACTTCTCGGTCGACGCTGTCAAAGGCCTTCTCAAAGTCGATGAAGTTGAGGTAGAGAGCTGATTGCCATTCTATGCTCTGTTCTATGATGATACGAAGCGTTGCAATTTGGTCTGCACATGATTTGTACTTCCTGAAGCCTGCCTGTTCCGGTCGCAGTTTTGAATCCAGTGCGTCTTTAAGCCTCTCCAGGATGATGCGGCTTAATATTTTACTTGGGGTGGACAGGAGAGTGATTCCGCGCCAGTTCTTGCAAGCACTGAGGTCTCCCTTCTTCGGCAGTTTGACAAGGTAACCCTTCTTCCAATCGTCAGGTACCTTCTCTTCCTTCCACACCTTCTGCAATAGTGGTGTGAGCATGTCCGCTGTTGTCTCTGCATCTGTTCTCAGTGCTTCTGGCGGTATTCCATCTGGTCCTGCTGCTTTCCCGCATTTCAGTAGCTTTATGGCGTTCAGGACTTCCATTTTCGTTGGGGGATTAATGTTCACTTGTAGTTCAGCGGCTGCAGGTGGTATTTCTGGACGAAGTGCAGGTGGTGGTCGATTCAAGAGCTTCTTGAAGTGGTCGGCCCATCGTTTCCTCTGTTTCTCTTCTTTTGTAATTAAATTTCCTTCTTCATCTTTTATTGGTTTCATCTGTGTTGGTCTCTTCCCTGATAGCAACCTGGTTATTTGATACAATGTCGTCAGGTCTCTCTTACCTGCAGCCTGTTCTGCTTCACTTGCCAGTGTTTCGTAGAAGTGTCTTTTGTCTTTGCGTGCACTCTTCTTCACTTCTTTGTCCAGTGTTTTATACATTGTGCTCAGTTCCTCTTGTCGTTGAGCATCCTTGCACTGGTTTATCTTCTGCTTCACCATCCTCTCTCCTCTCCTCTATCAGCTTCCAGGTATCCGTCGAGATCCATTCCTTGTCTTCTTTCTTCTTCCTTCCTAATACTGTTGTGCAGGTTTCTTTCCACATAGCTTTCAAAGACTTCCAGTGTTCTTCCACACAGGTTTCTTCAGGGATGTTGCTCGATGTCTCCCATTTTGTCTTGATGGCTGCCTTGAAGATCTCCTTTGTAGTTTCATCCTTCAGTTTCCGAGTGTTGTACTTGAATTGAGGTCTATCACCAGCTTCCTTGAAGGCTTTTAACTTGATTTGGAAGGTTCCTTGCACTAGAAGTAGTGGTCTGAACCTACATCTGCTCCTCTTCTTGACCTTGTGTTAAGTAGACTGCGTCTCCATTTTCTTGAGATTGAGATAAAGTCGATTTGATTTTTAGTGTGTCCATCTGGTGAAATCCATGTCGCTTTGTGGATATCTTTGTGCCTGAACACACTGCCTCCAATCACCAAATCGTTGAATGCGCAGAATTCTGCAAACAATTCTCCATTCTCATTCATTTCACCTAGTGCCTCTCGACCCATGGTTAGTTCTCTTCCCGTGTTGTCCCCTCCCAGTTTGGCATTCATGTCGCCCATTAGAATTTTGATATCGCCAACTGACGTCTTGTCCAGTGTTGATTGAAGTTGTCTGTAGAAATCCTCCTTTTTCTCTTGCTCTGCATTATTTGTAGGTGCATAACATTGTATGATTGTGACCTTTCTTCCTTTTGAGTTGAATCTTGCTGTCATGATCCTGGAGGAGATTGGTTCCCACTGCATGAGAGCCTTCGATGCTCTTGAGGACATCATGATAGCCACTCCCTCAGTGTGCTCGTGGTTGGCGTCTGGGTGACCGGAGTAGATTATTGATTCTCCAGTTGACAGTTTGGAGAGTCCACTCCCATTCCATCTGCTTTCGCAAATCCCAAGCACTTCGATGTTATACCTTCTCATCTCCTTTGCAATCTGGGCTGCCTTACTGGGTTCAAACATCGTGCGGACATTCCATGTCCCCACGTTTACTTTCGCTTTCATCGAGAGAAGACACATCGGCCAATTGGCTTCCCGAAGGCTTTCACCAACTGGCGTCATTTCGCCTCTCCGATTCCAGCGGGGAATAAGTTTGTTTTCATTTTTTATATTTTGTTTGTGCTTTGAAGTTTCTTTAGCGGTTAGATTTGTTTTACGGGGTAGGGTTGCTAGCCCTATGCCCAACCTTCCCTCTTTACCCGGGCTTAGGACCGGCTAGTAACTAGTAAACTAGTTAACCAGGCGAGGTTATGCAGTTATATATATATATATATATATATATATATATATATATATATATATATATATATATATATAAATGGATAAATTGTCGATCAAAAGCTCTTGAACCGACCTGTACAGCAATGTTACCAATTAATTCACGAGTAGAATGACTCTTAAAATAGATAAAATAATACGATGAATGACACTTAGCTGAGACTCACGTCTTTCACTTTTCGGCTGAAGGAAGGAAGGGATTTGGTATGACGATTAAGATGAAGACATTGCGTAAATACATCAGTGCCATTGAGATAGATTCTCAGAAATTTCACCTAATGTCTGCAACTACTGCTTTCTGTTTTCAAACAGACCTCTGCCAGGAAGTTTACATTTTTTTACGCAACACAAACCAATAGTCAAAAACCTCATGGACTAACGGCATTTTTCAGTCTAGCGACATATCCTTTTTTCAACCAAAACCTACTTCAGCTAACATTCTGCGACCCAAACGGAGACTAGACATGCGTAACACATGTCCAGATAACTTATTAATCTTGGTTCATAACCTTATCAACTTTTCTCTCCTCCCTAAAACTCTACGCCTAACATCTAAGTAACTGATATGATGAGAACTATATGACCTGTACTACAAAGGCAACAGTGGTCGAACACCTGAAGCTTACTCATATCCCTACATTCATTGACCATGTTTCATAACCATGCAATAGAAAAGAGCAAACTGTACCGCAGTGCACTCGACTCTTAATAGACAATAAGATATCACGATAGAACCACAGACGGCGTAAGTTAGCAGAAAGTTAAGCGAGCCTTTCATATCTGGGACGAGATTTCATTGGTCACTGACCCATCACACCTGATTAGACTTCCTGAGTAAGTGAAGTGGTCAATGCGTCCAACCATTTCACTCACCAACGTTAAGCGAGGCACCAATAAAGACTAGTCATGGAGCATGGTGACGAGAGCCATCCCAAACATTTTCAAATCGCCACTCAAGGTGTCCAGAAGACTCGTCAGGGCTCCCTGCCGATAGGCTCGGATCAATTAACATCCATCAAAGTGCACAACGATGGTGAACCTCCTAGCTTGGCGACTACATTGCAACATGATCGATAGAATTCGGTCAGCATCCAGAAGTAGACAACATGAAAACGGTTGCTCTCCAGTAACCAATCATTTTACTCTTCATTTTTTCAGCATCACCTGATAGAGCTATGTCTTCTGAGTACTCTAAGTCTACAAAAGATTCTTCTGTGATAAAACCAATCTCTGCAGAGTCAGAGTACGAGAGAGGGACCTACATAAGTTCGTCTATAATGAAGTTGAGTAGGAATGAAGAGAGCGGATATCCTTGTAGAACATCATTCAATGTACACAACTCAGCTTATAACTCACCATAAGCTATGACATATCCATGGGTGTTCGAGTACAGAATCCCCAACATAATGACATACTTACCCGGCATTTCT